GCAGTGTTTCTTACCCAGCCCGGCCGGTGCGACCAACACGGTGGACGTACTCTTCTATGTTTCGTGGGAAATCATAATTAAAGACGTGGGTTATATCGATGACGTCCAGGCCGCGGGACGCCAGGTCTGTGGCCACCAGGATACGAACACGATCTGGAAATTCAATGTGTATTAAGCTAATTTTTTTTAGGGATTTATTGTTGAGATAATAAAATATTATCTCAAAGATGAGGTTTAATCAACAACAGAGAAAAAACAAACTCTCTGTTTCTACGTACTGTCTTTGAAGTCCCTCAGAGCTTCTTCACGGTCACACTGCTCACGGTCGCCATGGAGACTTTGGACCGCCAGACCCTGCAGACACAGGTCACTGGACAGGTCGTCAGCCCTGAGATGACATCAGAATTAACAAACACATCTGAACACAACACAGTTCATGCAATGTTCTTCTTAAAATACATTTAAATAAAATAAACATTTCTAATATCAAATTAAAAAAGAACACCTTTAACTAATATTTATATAAATATTACAACACGTCACCAACACCCACTTGAGCTTCTTGCCCACGAAGACAAGGACTTTCTCCTCAGGCAACATGTTTCTGATGAAGTCAAAGATGTAAAACTTTTTCTCCTCTTCAGTCACGATGAGCACTGTTTGCTGCACCGTGTTCACAGCCTGAGAGAACACGACCACAGTCACACACAGTGTTACGGTGAAGACAACATCAATTGATTTTTTTTTTCTACTCACCGCCAAATCTAAAGTGCCCACGTAGGCCATCATCGGGTTCTTCAGGTAAGATTTGGACAGTCGACGCACACCAGTCGGCCACGTCGCGCTGACATGTAACCGTGACAAGTGTTTGATTTTCAGGAGGTTACACGTGTTTTTCTACTGGAAGCTGCTGGTGAACAATCCACAGTTTAACCTGAGTCTCACCTGGTCATGACGGTCTGTCGGTCAGGACGAATGTCCAGAATAATCTTCAGGATCTGAGGTTCAAAGCCCATGTCCAACATCCTGTCGGCCTCGTCCAGAACCTGAAGCCAGTGAATTGAAGAGGTTTGTACAGAGTTGAAGGAGAAGAAGAAGAAGTAGGCGAAGATCTGCAGGACAGACTGACCAGGTAGGTGATGGACTGGAGATGGATGAGCTCATTCATCTGGAGATCGTTGAGTCGGCCTGGTGTGGCGATGACTATGTCCACCCCAGACTGGACCAGGTTGATCTGCCCCCTCCTGTCCCCTCCACCGTAGATGCAGACACTGAGTGAAACAATTACAGTCATGCAGCGTTTACTGACATCTCGTGTTGTTCCAGTGCAGTGAAATAATTTTCCAGGTCGTGACCTTTTGTAGCCTTTGTATTGATACTTGTTGCACTCGGTCTCTATCTGCAGGGCCAGCTCTCTGGTGGGGGTCAACACCAACATGCCTGGACCTTTGCGCTTGTCCCTGGGTCTGATATACAAAGACAAATAATAATAATGAAGATAAATAGTAAAAATGTTATTTTAATTTATAATATTAAATTAAAGGGTGTAGTAAAATAATTAATAAAAGATAAAGACACAGTTTGTGTCCTCACACTGGCTGTCCGTCCATGTGTATGAACCCCGGCAGCAGGTAGGCCAGGGTTTTTCCTGTTCCCGTTTGTGCGATGGCTATCAGGTCCTCCCCGCTCAGCAGCACCGGCCAGGCCTGGGACTGATGGGAACAAGAACAGAGGAGCAACAGGGACGTCAACTGTGTGTCTGCTAATATTTATTTTTATATATTTTTTTATTTTATTTTTTAGAACTTTGACTGGACATACAGTATATTCTGAAGCAACTATATCATCTACGGCCACAAGAGGGCACTGTCTCAGAGTTTTTACAGGGGTTTTGCCATTTTCCTGGCACTACTATCTTACAAAACAGATGAAAATGTAACAATCAAAAAAGACTGTAGTGGAAAAACTGTAGTGCTTCGACCGTCATTGATTAGGACTTAGTTTTTATATGTCGTGCTGCTGTGCTAAAAAGCAACATAAAAATAATTAGTCTTTGTACCTGGATTGCAGTTGGTTTGGTGAATCCCACTCTCACAATGTTCTCCATGATTTCTGGGTAATGTTCAAAGGCCTCCAGGAATGTGCGGCAGGGATTGGGAACAGGACGCTTCTCTCCTTGGTCCTTCAGGTCGTCCACAAAGATGTTGTTGTTTTCCTTCCTGGAAAATTAAAACTATTAGAACAGGAGATTCCTAGATTATTTTTTTAAGAGGAAACCCAGTGAACAGCAGAATAACTCTACAGAGAGGAAACGTCAGATTTGACCTCCATTCTTGGACTTCTTTTGGTGTGAGCTTGGACACAGCCTCTGCTTCAGAGTAAAAATTCTTCTTCAAGGGTGGGAGGTCTGAAGAAAGAGGTTAAAATGACAAGAAATAAGAGAGTTGGAAAAGTTCCACAATTTTTATTGACCACTGAATATGTTCTGATTTCACAGCAGCGAGAACAAAATTAAACAACATAATTAAAATAAGATTTAAGATATAGATATAAACAGTGGTTGCAAAACTTTTTTTCCCCCTCCCACAGCGCCCATTTTTTCCTCAAACAAGAATTAAAAAAAAAAAAAGATAACTACAAAACTCCAGCACAAATAACAAAAACAATGTAACTGAAGTTTTGTCACTGTGTTTGTCCATGCCCTCAAATTGGGGCCTGACCTCCACTTTGGGAACCACTAGATCAGAGCAAGGTTAGAATTAGGTAGAAAAAAATGTTATGAATATAAACCAATCCTAAAAAAAAAAAGAATTAAAGAATGTGCAGCAGGTCAGACCTCGACACAGAGCAGTAAATCGTCTTCTCTCCCATTGGCAGGTTCACGTCACATGACTACTGTCCATGACATTCCTCACCTTTCCACTTGAGCTCCTCGTACTTGTCCTTGTTCTCCCTGATAGCATCCCAGTCTATGGTTGACCGAGGCACGGGGGCGCTGGATGCCTCCAACTGAACCGCAGACGTACTTGTCCCACTCCTTTCTCCTCTATCACCTCCTCTTCCACCTCTGTAGTCTCCTTTCCTACCAGCTAAACACAGTGGAGTAAAATTCAGTTACATTTCAATGAATCAATACTTTCTTACAGCCCTGGTGTCAGGAAACATTCTAAGGTGAAGACCAATGTTTTGGAGTGACATCACGTTTTACCATAGTGAAACTGAGAGCCACTGTTTTCCACCAGGTCCTCGATCATCTCCTTGGCCTTCTGCTGAGCAGGAGATGACCCAGTGATGACCACCTCACCTTCATAATCCCCCTTCTTTATCTAAAGACATACAGCACACCATGTGAATATGTATATTGTGTGTATGATGCAATAATAGTCACTATTGTTGCATCATACACAACATACGAGTCCACACCTACACATTGTATTGTTTATTTACTCAAACTTATAACAAACTGTTCAAGTTTTTATAATTTTTTTTAATAAAGTTTTCAAAAGCAAACTACCAAATGTTTTACTGAAGGCTAGTGACATTTGGATCTACTGTTTTTTTCACTTGTGTGGAAATTAAAACATCTACCTTTTTTAAAAAAAATATTCCAAGTATCAGCATAACACCTTTGAGCATCGCATGTCTGTTAAAAGACACTCAGAACGCCATGAAAGTAACATCACCCTTTAGCCACTAATAACAATACTTTAATATAACTTAATAGCATGCTACCTGGTAACGCTAGTCTTTATTCGGCATTCGTCAATGAAAAGTTTCAGCCAACTTTAGTCAAATTTAACTTTTCTCATTGTTGTTTCCGTAAAACACCAACATCTGTCACATTACCTTGATCCTTGCGCCTGAGCTTTCTTCAAGTTCACGGATTTTAGCCCCTCCGCGACCTTTAACCGGAAACAGACAACAGTGTGAAAATAAAGAACTGTAGAAACCAAAAAACAAAACAAAAATGTAAAAAATTCTATCAAAACAAAAGTCTGACGTTTAAAAAGTATAATTATTTTCAAACGATAGCTCTGTAGCACACAACGTCGAACACCCGCAGGTCGTTAGCACAAACAGCTAGCACTAGCTACCCCGACTTTGACTTGCCAAAACCCGCCACTTCCTCCGTAAAAACAGTATTATTTTTTTTTAGTAAATCTTACCTATTATTCTACCGATCAAAGAGTTCTCCACGCTGAGCGTCATAGTCGGAGAGGAGTCCGAGTTTTCACCATCAAAACTCCTATCCTTTCGCGGGCCTCGGCGTTCTGTATCCCCGGCTAAAGTGCGGTTTACACTCCCGCCTCTTTGGTGGTTGTTGTAGCCGCCGCCAGCATCTCCATAGACTTTCCTGAAGCCTCCAAACCTGATGCTTTCATTACTCTTTTCCCGTGGGTGGTCATAGCACGGGAACCGCTGCTGAACAGGAGCTTTTTGAACGACGGTCTCAATAGCTCTTCCCTCCTGGTCATATTCTTCCTCCCAGTCAGACATTGCCTTGATCACCTGGTGTCTACTTCACGGCCTGCAATTAAATACGGAGAAGTCCATCACGCGTGTGCTGAGTTCACGGAAACTGCGAAAAATGTGAACTTCTGAAGAAGGGATTTAGAATGCAAAAAAACACCGATAATTTTGTTGGTGAAATGCTCGTTAAAATAAGTATTAATTAAAATACTTCATGTTAAATATACTGTTTATTAAATATAAATGTTATTTTTCTATATTTTCTACATTAAATGCCCGTTATATATAGTATAGGCACATTGAAGGTCATTGTTTTATAGTTTATTAATATTTATTTACTTGGTGTTTTATTTGCTTTTGAGACTTCACATGTAAAATGTGATTCAGGTTTCTTTATTATTTTATTTTATTTTCATAATTGTGAATTGTCTTAACCTGATATGTTGAAATCATTATCGGTAAGAACGTTACAGCTGTAATGGTTTCAAAAGTTCAAGATCCTGCTGTTATTTGGCCGACGTTTAAATGTGCACATAGAACAGTTCACACTTTTGTTCTTTATGGTTCTAAATGAAGACACAAAACTACCGACATTTAGCTCATTTGTACTTTATTAATGATTAATAAAATTATTATTTTGCATTTCTCAACCAGAGAACATGATGTGCATTTCAATAAATTAATTCCAAAGAAATCATAAATGTTAACATCGTCAAGCCTTGAGGGGACAATCCATTTGTCAAAAAAAAAAAGATGATATCAACAACGTTTTTGACACATTTTCAACACTGATGTGGCTGCCATGCTCAGACCAATCCAGAAGAACGACCGTTACTTTGAGTGACAGCAGCACAGGCAGAAGGTAAGACAGATTTTAGTCCAATTAACAAAAGGCTAATCTTATAAAATCATTTTTGCTTAAGGGCACAACAGACCAAGAACATGTTTGTCACTTTATATCACCTTCAACCATTTCAGACGGAAACTGAAGGTGAAAGTTATTTACCCACACCACAGGTGATAATGAATAAATAATAACGTTAACATGCCGTGACAAATGGAGCCTCTGTTTTATTGATGCTTCTTTGTTTGGTTAGGTTTATGACACTGATGTTCAGATCAAAATACAAGATTTTGATGAAGGAACCTCTGAGGTAGCATCCTTATGTTTTATCTGATTGTAAAAGTGAATAAACAACGACTTCCTTAACGTTTACCATTTCATAGATGTCAGCTTTTAATGAGAGGCTCTTTTGTCCACAGGTTGAAATAAACATTGCAAAAATTCAAAATAATATAAATGATGTGTCAATATCTTACATTACCACACTTTAAAAAAACAAACAAAAAAATGGAACTATCCTTTGAAGGCCAGTTGTGGAATAAATTACAGTTCAAGCAGCAGAGAAATGGTAACATTATTAGTCTGTGGTTTAAATGAGCAGTTTGACTTCAACTGTACAGAACGCCGATACAGGCTGTGGGCTAGAAAACCTGACATTTGTAGCCCTGTTAAAAAAAAAACAACAACAACAAAAAAGCACCCTTAAGCAATTTACAGTCTGCAGAATTGAGCCTGACGTACTGTTCACCAGGAAAAGTTCCTTCACGTGTCCTTTTCTTTTCTTCTTGTTCAATCTTGCTCAAAAAAAAAAATCAACCATTTAGTACAAGAAATTATTTTTCCATATCAAGCTCAAACTACCGTGTCACATTTTGAGGCTCCTTCAAACTCGACATCTTCAAGCCGGTAATATTTCATCCATGCGGAGTTCTTCCACGTTCATTTTCAACAACTGACATTTGTTAGAGTGATACAAGGATTTTTTTTTTAAATTAAGGATGTTAATTCTCTTAGTCGAAATGGTAGTGTCAGTGAAATAACAGGACAATCTTATTTCTTTAAGACTTTAAGACGTCAATGTTTAAACCAGGCGTGTCAAACTGATTTAGGTTCAGGGGCCACATATCATAAACTGATTTAGGTTCAGGGGCCACATAGATGGACACATTAGATGACAAGTGGGCCGGACCAGTACAATCATACATTAATTACCTACAAATGACCAAAGATCTGCCCTTTTCCCCCTTGTGTTTTCCTGCAAGAAAGTACATTAGATAAATCTTTTAAATCATTTTTAGTGAAATATAATTTTGAAAGTTTTTGGGCAGGTTTTAGCCCGCAGGCCGTATGTTTGACACCCTTGGTTTAAACGTAGGAGACCAATGTATTAAGAGAGTTACAGGGAATTTAATAAAGGGTTTTAATAAGAATTATTACACACAGAAAATATCAAATTTTAGTTTTATCTTGTTATATTGATGATAAATCATCATTTAGTCCAAGTTAATCTGACCCAGAAACTGGGCCACACAGTTTTTTGAAATGGGCCTTTTAATGGCTGAATGACATTTAATTTAATGACATTTAATCCAAATAAATTCAGTTAATACTGTATCAGACCAACAGAGGACAGAACAGTATTTAGTTAAGGTTTGGCCAAGATGTGGTCCACATGTAGGATCCTGTATTGTGGGTAACTCAGTTCCCCATCTCACTCCTGTTGTTGCACCAAATGATCCATTTAACCACGTAGGACCATACTGTAGGACTGTACTGTAGGACTGTACTGTAGGACTGTACTGTAGGACCATAATGACAGCTAGCGCCACAGCTAGCATGTTCATGAATGGAACCACGTAGGTTCAGGTAAAGTTTAGCAACATAAAGAAATGTTTAGGTTTATAACAGAAGAAGTTAGTGACCTTCCTCTTGTAAGGCAAGAGCACAAACCACTCGACCACTGTATGGCTCTTAATGACCCAGTTTTAATTTAGTGGGCCAAAGCCCTGCCCTAGGCTGTGGAAGCTAGGTGGGCTGTATAGACTGTATAGACTAGGTGGGCTGTATAGGGTATATCTGGACCATTGTTTTGTTTCTTTGAGAGGCACAGTTGATATATATATATATTTTATTTTTTTCTGGACATGTTCTGAATGAACATACTGGAAGAGAAACTTAGGGAAGAGTAGGAAGGAAGAACGATGGTGGGACCAGTTCCACGAAATGTTCCCCCTATAACATATATACCAACTGGGCTGTACTGCACTCTACGTAGGCTGAGGTCAACTGTACTGTGTGTCATGGTTTCTCTGGGTGAAGCTGAGGAAATGATGTCGTATGATGTCGTTCATATCCAGCAGCCTTTTAATCACTGTGGAGTCACATGGTCCGACCAGCACCCAGTAAAAACTAGGGTTTGTCAAAACACTGGTACCAGCGTTGATGATGATAATAATAATAATAATAATAATAATAATATTAATCTAGTTCATCCATATGATGACTTTTAACAACTAATACATTTACTGATTAATCACTTGCTGCAAACATGCAGTGGAGGTGGGGGGCGGGGGGCAGTTGGGAGGGGGCGTCTACATGACTTCTTTTGATTTAACTACCCCAGCAGTGTAGCTACTGTAAGACATGCAGAGTCTCATGCTGGTACTGCAGTTCAGCATCAACAGCAGCAGCAGCCACCGGCTCTGTGGTCGGATCTCCAAAACCAAAGACAGACGAGGTCCAACACTGGGCCAGTGGCCGCTGATGGGTCGCTCTCTGCGTTCAAATTAAACATCCTGCCGTAACATCCATTCATAACAATTCCATGGTGGCAGATTCTGAACGAATGACACGCCTTTAATCTGAACACGTGCTGTGGGTTCGACTCCCGTCAGACCAGGCCTCGGCTCATCAACGTGAATCCATTCAGGGGTTTCCGTATAACAAAAAAAAAAAAAAAACAACAAACAGTCCATGCACAAAAATGTATGAAAGCATAAGAAAAAGAAAAAAAATTTACACACTGCCAAAGACAGGAGGCGCTCCTGCGTATCTTCCACTGAAGTCTCTGATTATAAGCGTTTGTATGAAAAAACAGGAGGTTCGGCCTCAGTCTTGGTCAAGTTGGCTCTTCTGAGAGGAAAGTGGTTGTGATTGGCAGCTGTGTATTTGTGTGCGTGTGAGAACGAGTGTATGTGTGTGTGTGTGTGTGTACCTTCACAGGCTCGGTCACCGTGTGGTGAGTGGTTGACCCTTGGTTTGCAGTGGCTAATTCAAGTTTCAGAAATCGTTTCCTAAACCTTACGACTTTTCTTCGCTTCTTTTCTATATGTACAGACACTTTCAAAAATGAATTTAAAATATTCTCCTCTGGCTAGACCAGGGGTTAGCAACCCTAACCCTAACCCTAACCCCTAACCCTAACCCCTAACCCCTAAGCCTAACCCTAACCCCTAACCCCTAAGCCTAACCGACCAGTAATAAAAAAAAAAAATTAATTAAACATGTGACTAAATTTCCGGTTTGCTTGCTAACAGCAAATCAACAACATGTCATACTAACGATTGATTGCTATTGTGTTTTAATTGATCATTGCTCTGCATGTAGACATTTGCATCAACAGCTTCTATAGTCCATAGCAGGGGTTCCCAACCCCTGATCCGTGGGCCGGTACCAGCTCATAAGTAATTTAGTACTGGACGGAAACATATATACTTCATTTTTACTGATGTACTTCATTCAAAGACACTGCAGTCACGTCCATTTACTTCTTCATTTAAAGATAATCTGCTAACGTTTCATTTCGACTCCGATACTAAAAAAATCAAGTCTGAAAAACTAATGATCCTTCAACGATCGGCGCGGTGCTACCAGTCCGCAGTAACAGCTGGTACCAGCTGATCGTTCCTTGAATACAATACAATGAATACAATACTTCATATAATACATTAGGACCAGTACTTAATGGTCAAACGGTGTTTGCACCTCCTGGTGAATTGTATCTGATGGTGGGGGGTTGCAGACCCCTGGTCTGTACCATGGACCATTACAAATGCCCATGGTTATCCAGGTGAATTGAAAAGTTTTTGGGTTTTTTTTTCAGATTAACTCAAACCCTAGGAAAGAATTCATCAATCATGTTTTATATTTTACTGGTGCGTCTGATCGTGTTCTGTCCAAATGTGTCGTCGTTTTTTTTCTTTCCATTTGTGCTTCAACCCTAAAAAAAAACTAAAAAAGATTTTGGTGGTGCATGCTACATGTAACAGACGTCTGGACTAGCGCTGCGACAGCTGCCCTGAATCTTTTCTTCCGTTCGTGTTACTGCTGTTTAACGTTGGTTCTGCAGTCGTGGTTCTCACGGACACATGAAGCCAAGCTCGGAAGAGACGAGCAGAAAATGTCGAATGTGAAAAAAAAAATTAAAAATACAGTACTTTTATATATACTTTTATGTTATTGTTGTTATTTCTACTTATCTATAGAATTTTTATAGACTTTTTTTTACTGTTATTGTTGTTATTTTTATATATATATATATATACTGTATTGTTTTACCTTTGTACGTTTTTGTGGTTGTCGTTTCTGCTGGTTCTGGATGAAAGGATTTGTCAATTTATAACCTTTTTTTTAATCGAATAAAATAATCAATAGATTCATGGATTTGTAAAACTAATCATTAGCTGCAGCGCTCACCTGGTTTGTTAAAATCCAAATTTAAATTTTGATACTGAACATGATCTGATTATTGTCTGATAAAAAACTGTGTTTGTGTATGAGCGTGTATGTATGTGTGTGTGTGTGTCAGTGTGTGTGTGAGTGTATGGTTATGCCAGTTGTGTATGTGGACTGACTGAGAAAGTCTTGACTCCCCTTGGAGGGGGGGGCAGCCTCCTGCACAGTCTGTAGGAGGTCCGCGGGGCTGCCGTCAGGTGACAGGAAGTTGAAACATTTTTTTTCTGCTGGTTCTAACTTACACTCGCCGATGAACAGTTCTGTCCCGTCCCAGTTGCTCAGGTCGCCGTGAGAGCTCAGGGTCTGGCTGAGGTTATGAACGGAGAGGGACTTCCCCAGACCGCCGTCCCAGTCCGACGGCGTCCCGTCTGTGCTGGACGAGAGCAGCAGCAGCGGGTTCACCTCCAGGCTCATGTGCCTCCTCCAGACTGCCTCATTTTTCAAGCATGGTTTGTCGCGGAGCTGCACCCCCCCCTGGACAGGAACCGCTTCAGCGTCCTCCACCCGGTCTGCACCCAAACTGGACTCCGTGACAACAGAAGGACCCAGGTTCTCTTTGTCTGCCATCACTCCTTCTGCCAGATCATCTGCGATGGAGTGAGCAGAATATCTGAGGTGGGAGGGGGGCACCATGGAGGGCAGCTGGAGGGTGAAACCCCCCGATGAGGCGGGCGGAGGCGGCAGGTCGGGGAAGTGTGCTCTCTTAGAGGTACCGTTTGGTGTGACCAAGGTGGGGTAGGGACTGTCAGGTGGTAGCAGCGGTGACGGAGAGAGGGAGGCCGTGGATGGGGGGTAGGAGGGAGGGGCCGAGTCTGGAGGGATGTCGTCATCGGCCGGTGCCAGGATGAGACGCAGTCCTCTGGGGTTGGTGCCTTGAGAACGACGGAGGCCTCGGTTCCCTTCACTGCCTCCTCGCTCCAGATTTCCCCCCTGAGGAGAAGGGAGCTCCCGCCCGATCATGGAGGTCTGGTAGTCCGAGTTGTGGTGCTGGTGGTTTTCCAGCTCGAACAGAGGCAACGAGGCCAGAGTGAGGCCCGACGGACCCTTCTGTAGAACCTGACGGTACACGTCCAACAGAGAGTCCAGCTTGGACTCGATGGACGTCACCTGGTCAAAACCAAAGAGCAAAAACAGGGTTTCAGGAGATCAGCTTCAGGGTCTCCACGTCTCACTGAATCAAAAACTGATCTAAAACCATGGGACTTGAATCTAAAAGCTCTGGTAGAATTTTCTAGATCAACAGGACCAGGACCAGGACCAGTCCAAACATGGACCCTGCTCTGATGGAGCCTCTCTCTCTGTTCACACTGTTGATTCAAGGAAACACTCCTGACTTCACAGCGTTGCATTGTGGGTATTCCAGTATTCCATTTAGGAGGGATTAGGTTTGTTCTTTGCTCTTTTACGAACAAATCTCAAAACACAAAAATACAGAACTGCTGCCGTTGTTAAAACGATCAAATGTTTTTGTTGCTCAACTGCTGCCGTTGTTAAAACGATCAAACGTTTTTGTTGCTCTTGTTGAATTTGATTTGGTTCTAAAAATGATTCAATTTTTTTTTTTTTTTTAAATGGACGTCTCACCTGTCTCTCCACCTTACAAACACGTCCCAGCATGCTCATGCCGTCCAGAGAGTCTCCATCTGCGTTCAGTTTGTCCCTCATCTTCTTATCCACAGGAATCTGGCCTTTTCCCAGGATCTGATCCACCCTGTCACACACACACACACACACACACACACACACACAGGTGTTAATATATTAGAAAATAAGGAGCAGTAACGTGAGCAGCCCCCGGAGCTCCACTTCAGATTTTTCCAAACCAGGCAGCAGACCTAAAGCAACATGGGTGACGTCAGGACCAGGGTTAGTTCAACACTGCACACCGGGCTCCGCTGGATCACATTCACAACCAAAAGTTCTGGTTTTCAGGCTCCAACACAAACGTCATCACAGATCAGCTTTCAGGACAAAAACGGAGTTGACCCCCCCTCGGCCCCCGCCCCTTATTTTCTAGTTTTCAGGAATTTGTTTCTTCTCATTTCCAAGAACTGTTATCTGTTTGTTACTGTTTCGACAGTAGTTCTTTTAAAATAATAATTATTTTATTTTTTACTGTCCATGTCTTGTCTTATACATTTTATTATAAATATAATATTTTTGTTGATTTAATACATTTATATTCCAGTTTCTCACAAAACAATCGACACTGCAACATCACACATTAGTCACAGAAACAGTACAACAAAAAAGTACCGTCACTTCACCAAGAGGCTGGAGTTTTTTACATCAGTTCAACAATTGTTTTTTTTTCAATGATAATTTTGTAATTTCTCTTATTTTTTTTGAGAAGATTTTACCTTTCAGTGAACTGTACTGGACTGAATTTTCCAGCTGTTTGGTGACTGTTAATTCACTTTCACTCCTTCACATATTCATTCACATCAGCGTCTGTTTCTATGTGAGGTTAAAGGTCAGTTCTCTGCAGACGGCTGAGGTTATCACATGAAAATGGACACAGAAAAAATAGCACCAAAAAGCAGTGACCCTGAGCCAGGACGCTTCTTCCTGTTGTTGCTGCTGTAATAATAATGCAGAGCAGGAGACGACACGTTTCTGGGTCGACCAGGACCAGAACCGGGACCAGGACCAGGACCAGGACCAGGACCTGCTGCACTGCTCAGATGGAAGACGAAAGAGAAACTCTTTCAGAAGCAGCTGGAAACCTCACATCAGCGCACAAACACACACCAACCAATCACAGCACAAACGGTAGCAACGCACACACACACACACACACACACACAGGCAAGAGCCTTTACTGAAGGTTAATAATAGAGAAAAGGAAAGTTATTATTATTATTATTATCTACTTATAGTAACTATTATTAAAAGCTAAAAGATGAATCCATTTTCTTCAGGTTTCTTTCATGTCATGCACACACCGTCGCCCTCGACAACTTCTTTTACTTTACAATTTATTCTAAATAAGTGTTGACCGGAGCATAGTCAAAACAAAGTCTTCACACACACACACACACACACACACACACACACCGTCAAGACCAAACTGCAGCCAGACCTGGGTCAGGATCTCCTTCAGCTCACGTTACACACTCACATAACTGTTAACTAAGCCTGTGTTTGACCCAGGTTCGGGTAATAAAGTTAGTCAGGATGAGTGGACGAGCGGGTGACGGTCCAACCCTGACCCAGGCTTCATCCTCCGGCCGGGGCTGTAATACAAGGGCAGGGAGGGGGAGGAGAAGGCCTTCATACGACTGTTGAACGGACGTGGAGGTGGACCCACCACGGTGTCCAGTCTGGGAGGGAGAGGACACACACACACACACACACACACACACATGTCCCACGTAGTGACAGGACAGAATCATCCATTCGTTGAACTTTTCCTTTGTAAAGAAAATCTTTGGAGGAAAATAGGGATGTCCGATATTACATTTTTTGCCGATATTGTCCAAACACTCAATTTCCGATTCCAGTATCAACCGATACCGATTTAGGTCTGGTCGTAGGACTGGAGGAGCTGGGAACATCGTTCTGCATATGATCCCCAGATTATTTAAAAAATATTTTGCTGCAATGCCGCCATCTAGTGACGTTCACTTTCACATCCCCAAAACTATTTTTAGGTCACAGGCCATTTGACTAAACCCAGGCATTGAGTTATCGGGGTTTTCATTATCAGAGGAAAACCCCTATAACGAATATCGGCCGATATTATCGGACATCCCTAAAGTTTTTAAATTACACAGGGGAACGACAGATGTGACACACTGGTACATTATACACCTGGATGTTGTTTCCTGACCTGGTCTGAAGACTCTTGATGCGACACAGCATGTCCAGATGTCCAGCTGAATACTGCTCTATGACGTCCTTCACGTCGTATGGACGCAGCGTCTCCTTGAACTTCTTCTTCGCCACGTGGAACTTCATGATCCTGGTCACACACAAAACAAAAAAGGAGATAAGTAACATTTATTAACCTATTGTTATTCTTTTTTTTTTGTCTATCGCTCGACCACAATTTATAGATTTAAATTTTAATTATTTAATCATTTACATTCACTAAATACATCAAATATTAAGAACCGTAAAAGGTGTGACAGCCACATACAGCCACTAGGTGGAAGCAACACCTATGAGAAATCACCGTAGTCACATTCCACTTGTTGATCATTTCTTTTCTAACCAGTTTCATTACAAAAAAATATTTGTCCGAGCTCAGACATGTGCAGCGGTGTCTACTGGGAAACCGAGGACCGTGAGTTTCTCTCATCAAGTCCAGAAGTAGAAAAAAAAACAGCACCAGGTCTGAAACCCGAGTGAAACCCCAGGATCTGCTGCTGATTTGATGAGCAGCCGCTGCTGGATGAATAATATTGATGCAGGTAAAATAATCTGGGCTCAGGGTTCAGCCCGATTCCCCGGTGCTTTGCTGCTGCTCTCCAGTTGGCCCACTCCCTCACTGTCCCAATGGAAACCTTGATGACAGTTGACCCTCTGTCAAAACACAACCTGACACCCTGGGAACGACCTGGGTGGTGCTCCACCTGCTGGGTGGTTGGGCGTGTGGGCCACGACCGGGTGGTGGAGAAATGACAAACTGTATTTAAAATAAAAGATGGAGCTGGAGTTTCCAGACAGGAGGAGATCTGAGGATGATGATGATGAAGATGATGAAGATGAAGATGAAAAGTTAGTCCGACCTCGGACCTGTTAGCTTCTTCTGCGCTAAGTTTTAACAGTCGAGTATCAAGCAAGTATGGCCTTTTTCCATTATAGCTGCCATCATAGCTTCCTGTTAGCCGCGATGCGTAGCTGTTTTTGCTAACTAAATAAAGCTAACGATAATCTGAGACACTTTTCGTTCTTGTTGTTCCAGTTATCAATTATCTTTAAGAACAATTTTTTTTTCGTTAAAAGGTTTTGTGATTTTTTCTAGACCTTTGATTTAATTTGTGTAAAACAAAAATAAATTATTTAAATAACTTCACGTAATTAACTCGTAGTCACTAGTCTGACTTTTGGTAGCTGTGACCTGTAGCTATTTTAGCTGTTTTTTTTTCTAGCTAACCGTCACCAGGCTAAAGTCCACTGTGTCTAATATTATAGGACACAAACGAGTAAACGTGAATGTGGAGCGGAGAAACACGGAATGAGAAACAGACATGACATCAGCACGCCTGGAGGCGTTATCACAGAAAGTGAAAAAATATTAGTATGACACGTGCACCAAATGTGGAAGTGAGACCTCTTATTTAGAGGAATGGTCCTCGTGGTCCATATGGGCAGCATCTGTGTCTGTGACGGGAACATGTTTCAGCTCCTTATGTTAATGAGCCATCTGCCCAGCAGAGATGGATGACATACGGAATTATAAATAAATACAGAAAAGGAGAAGTTAATAAAAGGTGCGAGTTGCGTGAGCAGCCGATGGGGAAACGTTTAAATAAATGTGTGTGTGTTTTATGGCAACACATTTGAACACAGTGTCTGTGGTGTAGTAGCAGGAGCTGCGATGTGACCGTGTGTCACGTTGACAGCAGCGTAATGTGTAAAAAAAAAACCTGTTTTAGTTCCTGTTGCACAGCACTTGTTAATTATTAACAACGTGATTTGGAGCTCGTTTATTATTTTTTACGTCTGCAGCAGAATGGAGCGACACGACTTCACACATCCTACGTCCTTCTACTATATCCTTGACATGAATTATATTTGTCCTCAGCATCCCAGGGTTTTTTTTGTTGTAAATTTTACTCATTTAGTGTTTCATTTGATATATTAAATACAGGTGCAAATACACTCCATCCCAGTAGGTGGCAGTATTGTATCTAGGGGTGTAAGAAAATATCTATACACTGAAATATCGTGATATTTTGTTTCAGGATACCATATTTATATCCTCCTCCATCAGTTATTGATTTTTTTTTCTTTCCAATTCCCAGTCCAATATTCCTGGTGTTGGTTCATTTTCTTTTTCTTTTCTTTCTTCTCTAGTGATTCCAAATGTAGATCCCTCTGTTCCAGTGTTAGGAACTGATGTTCAGATGGAACAGAGTCTCAGACTAGGATCACACCCCTGACTGCACCTCACCAGCCACAGAGAAGATGCCCAGAGTTCATAACTCGTTTTGGACGTCTGTCATGTTTGTGATTTAGGAGACATGGTCTGAGGACATCAGCCTCAGAGGACAAAGGACAAAGGACGAAGAAGGACGAAGAACGGACGCTTCCTCTCACCTGACGGCTCTGATGACGGTCTTGAGCGGAGCTGACAGATCCTCCACAGTGATGTCACAGTGACAGCCTCTCTCATCAAACGAATCCTCCGTGGTCATCCCACTGTCCACTGAGAGAAACACACACACACACACACACACACACACACACACACAGTCCGTCCGTCATTAACGCGGCCTCAGATTTGTTTCCAGACCTTGGAGTCATAAACCAGTGTGAGCAGCTGCTGACAGGTTTCAAACCCAGACTTTTTGAAGGCTTTTAGGAGGTGAACTTTTATGCCCCACTTGGTCAAGGATGTTAGGATTTTTTTTTTGCCATCTCAGCTGCTGGGAGTGAGTGAAGCAGCAACACGGGGCAGGGGATCCTAAATCCTGCACATAATTCCCAGAGCTGGAGACAGACAGAACGAGTGGGAGCGCAGCGGGTGGCAGGAAATGGAAAGAAAGTAAATAATGACACGGAGCGCTCCAGAGGTTAGAAAATGAGATGAGGAGAAAGACAGACGCTCGGCAATTATTTCTATTTCTGTAGAATTTCTGGGAAATTGGAAGTGTTTACATAACAATAGAGAGCAAAATGACGGAATAGGCTTGAAGTAAGAGCAAATTGCTCATAATCAAAGACACACAAAGCAATGTTGTCAAGCTGAAAATAAGGCAATTTTCATTCACTGATTGTCATTGTTTCCATGCGTCCACCTACGGCAGAAGTGTGAATCTCTAACGATGAGTCGGACTCTACTCCGTCAAAATACACACAAGTATTGTGTGTATTACAAGTATTACATCATCATCGTATGTAATACTTGGACACTGTGTCATCAGGTGTCTCATAAACAAGAAAGAAGAAAATAAAACTTTAAGTAAATGTACCGTAAGTGTAACAAAAAAAAAAAATCTAAGTTTAAGTTAAGAGCTAAATGTTAGGATTGTTGTCATTTAGTAAAAAAAAAAATTTAGGTCAAACAGAAGCTAATGTTAGCTTAGCATGTTAACAGCTAAAAGTTTGATAGTGAATTTAAAACTTTAAAGACACAATTAGAAAAAAATCTTGACTAATTAGTTATAATTATTCATTATATATGATAAATATTCATAAAAAGGAAACGTGTCACTGAATTAGCACGTCTAATGTTATTTTAAAAAAAGCATATTATTCATGATGTTTCCAAAAACACAAACACTTGGTTTCCTGTCAGTTCTTCTTACAGTACTGTATGAAGGAAACACCGTTCTACTACTTGTTTCCTCTTTGTTTTCTGGGGGAAAATCTCTGTTCCACTGACCTTCTCCACAAAGACACAAAATGAACTGATGACCTGGAGGGTTAGCAACAACAACGACTCCTCAGATTTTCCTAAGATTAGTTTTCGAGCGTTTCTTTGACTCCGTGGAGTCATGTGACATCAACGTTTCTCATTTGGATAAAAACAAAAACAACAACAACACAGGAAGTGCAGGTGAGTGTCAATCTTTAAAAAGCTCAGAACAACAACAACATCAACAACAGGAAGTGCAGGTGTTTCAAAGCTTCACATTAATGAGTGTCAATCTTTAAAGAGCTCGGAAATGTCCAGGAAAATGTTATTATAATAATAATCTGTGCAACAAATTAGAAAAAAAAAATCCAGATTTGGTTAGGAAAGAAAAAAAACAATGGACCAAAGTGACTTGAAACATCATTAACATCAGGTTTTAAAGAAGCTAAATGTTGAAAAAAGACAAAATAAAAACAAAAACCTGGTTCTCACTGACCGTCTGAAACCACGGTCCGGTTCTGGCTCTTCAGTCTGAGCGAGGGCCTGAAGCGCGTGCGGTCGTTAAAGCTCCAGCTCTTCTGGACCTTGGCGGGGCTGCCACCCATCAGTTCACCCCCGCCTACCGCGTCATTTCCGGGGGAACACCGTTGGCGGTCGTTGATGGAGGTCTGTCGGCTCTTCATGCTCTGACCGCGAGGACTGGCCATCCGGACCCGCTCCTTAAAACTCAACTTTTGACTGGGAGGACGGGAAGACGATGAGGAGGAGATGTGATGAAGGAAAGAGATAAGGGGAGAGGAAGAGAGGAATATATGTCAAAAATCTTTTTCCGATCAGACATTGAGATCTGTCCTCTCCCTCAGACCAGACACCATCTATCCAGCTGACATGCCCAGAAAACTCCAGAAAAAAAAAAATAAAGGCCAGACTCCTCGCCAAGGCAGCAAATCAAAATGTGCAGCTCCGACATCTTTGCCTGATCTGCTGATCTCTCAGACTAAAAGGCAATTTATATATACTCTTCATATAAACAGTAAATATATACATATATATATATTTTTAAAAATTTAAGCTTAAACGTGAGCATATCATTTTTGAATGTTTCTTTCTTACGAGGCTGTGAATCGACCAATTGAAGACCAGCTGAATACAGAATAAAGACCAGCATGCAATGCAGCAGAGCAGTGAAAGAAAGAGATGCAGGTTTTTATTTTTTAAAGAGTTTCCATGCCACCATTCAATTTTTTTTCAAACCCTTTCAAATTTGCAGAACTGCTTCGTTTCAACCATAGACTGTAGATAAAAAGTGGACGCAGAGCTGCAGCTGCAGAAGAACAACATCTAAATCCCACTTCTGGGACTAAAACCCTAAACCAGATCATGTTTACAGGTCGTTTGAACTGATCACCAAACAAATTGCAAAAAAAGTAGTCAATTAAAAAGGGGGTGTGGGACACAGGAAGTAGTTGAAAGATGACAGGAAGTAGTGACAGATACGGAGGATGGTCTGGTGGAGATTTGCAGTGAAGACTTTGCAGGATTTTTATGTCCTCGTCTGGTGCTTTTTAGTTGCCTTAACTTTCTTGTGGTGTTGTGTTCTGTCTTTTCATTATTTACTTCTGCGGCTTCACTTTCCACTGTAAGTATCAGGCAGCGCCGCCTGCGTCCATGTTTTAAACACAGTCCTCGGTTCCATTCAGTTCCTGTTCTTTTACCGACGTATTCAGTTTCAGAGCTGAACTTTAAACCAATTATTTTGTCCTTAATGAGTTGCATCAACTAAACACCACAGTCTCTCCGTCTCTGACAACAGTGTTAGCATCAACAGTCGCAGTAAAAGCAGAAACACTGGAAAGAGAAGAAGGTTGTGGCACCAATGCAGGGATCATGCAGTCAAATGGGAGCAACACAGCACTGCCTCGAACCACCGTATGAGTTACTGCCCCCTAGTGACTGGAGGCTTGTTATCATTCCAGCATTACCCCCAGCAACCCACCACTCCGATCATACATTTTTAAACACTGGCTGAAGCCACATCAACCTTCAGGACCAATGATTTATGACGAGGTGGTGAAGACGTACAAAGTGACACAGACGGAAACGTGAACCGTCTTCATACGTTCGCCCAGGTTTTGATTTGATCGGTGCATCGCTGACTGTAGTCATCGATCATCGCTGTCAGTGTTTATTAAAAGGCGTTTTTCAAAGCTGACACACTCCGTCGTCAGGTTCATGCAGCCACCACTGAACCAAGTCAACCAAAATGTTCTGCTGCAGATTCTTCTAACACTGTGCTGATGCTGAGGTCAGTTCTGCTGTAGGCCTGAAAATATAATGAACTCATTTGAAGTAAAGTTCCACAGGCAGCAGGCAGCGGACGAAGTTCGGGGCAAATTCTTTTAATAAACAAAAAGGGCCCAAGGAGGGAAGTCATTTTTCACTTTCATGTCTCCTTTTTCATGCTAGTTATCGTTAGTCATTCTCATGGGGCAGGGAGGAGGCAGCGGCAGAGGATGCTGGGTAATATCGTTGGTACCTCCTATATTTCCTTCTGAAGAGCCGCCCGTTACTTTGACCCTCACTAGAGGGAGCGTCAGATGGAGGAGAGAGGAGGAGATAGAAAGAGGAGACGGATTTAGAGCTTCACCGCAAACACCTGTGTAGTCTACGTACAGGAAGTAGTCCTAACGAGCAGCAATTAGCCATTGGGTGCTATCAACAAGCTAATCGGTGATCTCCTAAGGCTAGCATGCTATCGCTAATTCCACAACGTTCCCGATCCACCTGTGAACTTAACCCTGAAACTTGGTTTTTTCCTTCGCCTCTTCCTCGCTCACACTCGGGCCGCAGCACCCGCTAATCCACTCTGTGTTGCCTCCGTGTTTACTGCTGCTGGTGTTTACAAGTCTGCTTAAGTAAAAGCCGACCAGCAGTCGTTTACGGCGGCACCCACCGCCGCACAGCAGCCGACAGACGGTAAAC